GACGCGTACGAGGTTAAAGTCACCCATGACGCGTACGAGGTTAAAGTTACCCTTCACATGTAAGAGGTTAAAGTCACCCATGACCTGTAAGAGGTTAAAGTCACCCATGACCTTCAGGAGGTTAGTCAAGTGGAATAGAGCAGAAAGTTACTGGTCAGACCTGAGTTTGACCCCTCTCAGTTTGTGTTTTAAAGAGACACAGGAACTTTGTGTGTCTGTTTCCCAACAAGATGTGGAGGTAAAGATCAGAGCAGCTGTATTGTTACATTATCAGTGTTTAGCCTATATCTTGGATCTTTTGGCGTGCCGTTGGGTGTTCGTTTAGTGTATATTTTAGTGTATATCTTAAATCCTTATCTACTGTTTCTTTGTACATTTAATTTATTAATTAAATAAATAAATAAACTCATATTCCTTTAAAGAGGCTCATAGATCTTAATGTCAAGTCAGACCTGGTTCTCTGATCAGGGATTTTCTGTTGTGTCGTCCACAGAGGGTCTGTGGTGGTGGGAACACCTGATGTGCTCATGGTGAGCACTGGTTGCTCTCAAGGTTGTGTTCTCTCTTTACAAATGAGTTTGTTTAATGACCAGAGCCGTATTTGAATCAAACATGTCAGTGACACGGCTCGGGCTGGACTACTAATGGAAAACAATCCCGCAGGTGAAGCTTCTTATTTATGAGGTGGGGTAGAGGTAGGGCAGCCGACTCGGGACCTGAAAGTCCCAGGTTCAATCCCCAACCATTTCCACATGTCATGGTGTCCCTGAGCAAGACACCCAATCCCCAATTGCTCCCCGAGCGCTTGCGTAGCTGCCCCCTGCTCCACCTGGTGTATCCCAGGTGTGATGGGTTAAATGCAGAGAACTCATTGTGCCGTTGTATGGGAACACAGTGATGACAACACATGGCACTGATTATTGTAAAGGCCCCGGAGACATGAGTCATAACAAGATATTAATATCTTATCTTAGCGGTCTGGTAAAAACCTCAGGATGGTTTTAGACTCTGACTTCAAG